GGTGGATGGATTGAAGGATGGATGGGTGGATGGATGGATGGACGGATGGATGGATGGACGGACAGATGGATGGATGGGTGGATGGTAGATACATGGAAGGAAGCAAGGAAGAATGGATGGATTTTGGTTATTAAATATTTGAATAAATCACTGGATTGCTGACTTGCTGGTGGAAAGGATGTTAAGCAGAAACTCTGCTGTGTAGATTGTTGACTGGATGAGAGGTTGGATGGATGGATTGCTGACTAGCTGCCCGGCTAGCTTGATAGATAGATTTCTCAATTGACTGATGAAATAAACTGACTTTAGATTGGGGTCTGAGTTAGATACAGGATCTAAATTAGTAGGGACTAAGCTTAGGATAAAATATGAGATTTGGGTTCCCATTGGAGATCTGGGTGGTAGGGCTAGAGGAGATAAGAAATGTAAGGAGTGGGTCTGAGTATCAGGGTTAGGAGAAACCTTAGTGGAAGCTGAAAGAGCTTCTGGTTCAGTCTGGGGTTCCAGTGACGACATACATGGGGGTTAGAGTGCAGGGCGGCTGCAGATTGTGGCTGAGGATAATCTGGAGAAGGTGTTAGGGGTGCGGTGGAGACACTAGAGGTAGCCACTGGTCTGAGGTTCTGAATTCTTGAACCCCAAGAAACAAAATAAAGAAGAAGCCTGACTTTCATCTCTCCTTGACCCCAGGGCCTCCCAGAGCTGCTGGTGAAGAGGGTGGTGGCCCAGCTAGCCGGAGCCCTGGACTTCCTCCATGGCCGGGGGCTGGTCCATGCGGATGTCAAGCCAGACAACGTGCTGGTCTTTGACCCTGTCTGCAGCCGTGTGGCCCTAGGTGACCTAGGTCTGACCCGGCCCGAGGGCAGTCCAACCCCTGCCCCACCAGGGCCACTGCCCTCCGCCCCACCCGAGCTCTGCCTCTTGCTGCCACCTGACACCCTGCCCCTGCGCCCAGCGGTGGACTCCTGGGGTCTGGGGGTGCTTCTCTTCTGCGCTGCCACTGCCTGTTTCCCTTGGGATGTGGCACTGGCCCCTGACCCCGAGTTCGAGGCCTTTGCTGGCTGGCTGACCACCAGGCCCCAGCCGCCTCAACCACCACCCCCTTGGGACCAGTTTGCTCCCCCAGCTCTGGCATTGCTCCAGGGGCTTCTAGACCTGGATCCCGAGACTAGGAGCCCTCCGCTGGTTGTCCTGGACTTCTTGGGGGATGACTGGGGGCTAGACAGGAACAGAGAGGGGTCTGGGGGCTTGGGGGACATGTCTGGTGAAGATGGGGAGGAGGAGGAAGAGGGGGGAGCGAGCCTGGAAGAGGGGACAGAGGAGGAAGAGGAGGAGGAGGAGGAGGAGGAGGAGCAGGAGGGCAAAGGTGGCAGGAGGATGGGGACAGATGGGGGAGCTCCCTGACCAGGTGACTGAGACAGGTGGCCACAGCCTGGGCCAGAGGCCCCTCCCGCAGCCTCCCTCCCCCAACCCTGGCCACCTGGATGGAGACAGCTGCTCCCGGGAGGACAGGGATGGAACATACTGCATCTCACCCTGCTGAGGGCTGGACTGGGGCGCACAATTTCCCTCTCAGCCGAGGACCCGGGAGCCCAAGACCCAGCCCCTCCTCCCTCAGACCCGGGAGTCTAGGCCCCCAGCCCCTCTTCCTTCTGTCCTGAATGTGTCTTCTTGAAGGAAGGCACTGTTTCCGCAGACACATTTCTGCAGTGCAGGGACATGCTGAATCCTCATCATGGACTTCTGATGGGGTCACTCATCCCCACCAAGACCCGGTTGACGCTCACTGTCCCTGTCACTAAATCTGGGCTTTCAGAATCTGACTGAAACCTGATGATGGACACCTCATCTCCTTCTCCCATTTCCCGGGGCTCTGGGTGACATATTGGGGAAGTCACTCATTCTTTCTGGACCTAAACACACACACACACACACACACACACACACACTTCCGGCAGCTACTTCTTGCGTCCTCCCCAAGAATGCCGTTGTCCGCAGCTCAGTGCCTCCAAGAAGTGGACCTCTCCCCAGGCCCTCTCCAGCCTCGGGAACTTTTATCCGGGTGACCTGTGTCTCCCATCTTTTTCGGCCTCACCTCCTGTGCTGTCCAGGATGGACTTGTTTTTGTTTTTGTTTTCTGTTTCGACATCCTTTCCGCTCCCACATGGCGAGTGCCCTGCGCCGGCTCCCTACGAGCACAAAGCACCAAGGTGTGTGACTGTCCCAGGCGTGTGGACCTCAGAGCCGTCCATGTGGAGGGCCACAGCTGCTTTGGAAGACCGTGCATTCACCTGGGCCAGGCTGGGAGCCGTGTGCCCCACGACGCACACGCAGGCACACGTACCCCTTGCTTATGATGCTTCACACCTGCAGGGCAGGGGCTGCGTGCATCTGGCCCCGGCACCCGGCAGAGTCAGGAATGGGAACTGCTCCCTCCACGGGAATCTGTCCCTCGTGCCTTCTAGACTTAAACACGTGGGTCCACCAAGCACAGTGTGGTGTCCTGGATTGGACCCGGGGACAGCGTAAGGTTGTTGGCGGAGGCGTGTGAGTGATGATTTCTTTGTTTGGACAAATGTGGGGTCGTTGGCTGTGTCAGATATCAACCTGGTGGGGAGCGGGGGACGGCCCGGCAGTTCTCAGCACCATCTTTCAGGCTGTTCTGGAAATCTAAAGTTATTCTGAAATAAAGGTTTATTAAAAAAAAAAAAAAATGAAGTGAGTCCACAGTGGTCCTCTTGCTGTAAACCTGGCGAGGAGATGTGACATCCCAGGCCCCCGGCCCCTCCTCCCTCAGACCCTGGAGATTCTGCCTACCCCCTTCCTCCAACTTTAAAGTCTTCGGATTCAGAACGCAGACCTCCCCTCCCCTCCCCTCCCTTCCCAGTTGCTCCACCACCTGCTTCCCCTCTGCCCCAAGTCTGAGATCATCTCTCACTGCATCGTTCTGGAATCTCGTTGTCTCATCCTTTCCCCAAACAGGACCCCAGTGTCTCATCCCCTGGACACCCCTCACCAAACACTTGTGTCTGACCTGTCAATGGGGCATTGATGGGGCAGCTGGGTGGGGTCAAGGCAGGGGCAAGCAAGAGAAATGATGTCATCCTCTACAGTGGCCCGGACTCCTGGGTCTGAGGGAGGGGGCACTGGGGTCCTAGAGTCCTGGGTCTGAGGGAGGAGGATCTGAGGGAGGAGGGGCTGGGGGCCTGAGCTTCTGGGTCTGAGGGAGGAGGGGCTGGTGGCCTGGACTCCTGGATCTGAGGGAGGAGGCGAATGGGAGCCCGGACTCCTGGGTCTGAGGGAGGAGGCGCTGGGGGCCTGGGCTCCCAGGTCTGAGGGAGGAGGGGCTGGAGCCTGGACTCCCAGGTCTGAGGGAGGAGGGGGCTGGGGGCCTGGGTCTGGGACACATTTCTGACAGCAGCCAGTTCTAGGAGTCAACACACGATGTCGCTCTGGCCCCAGTGGGGTAGAAGGGGCGGGGCCAGGGGCGGGGCCTACGACCCCCTAGGTGGGGGCGGGGTCTGCTCCCGGGCAGGCCTCTGCTGGCATGGGATCTAGTGCTGGGCACTGACCACAGCAGGCAGCGAAGGGTCGGGCAAGCTTTGGAGAAGGTGAGGCTTGGAGGCCGGAGCCCAGGTCAGGAGGAGGCAAGGGTTAAGCCGCGTGAGGTGGGCAGCACCTGATAGTGAAGCCGGGCAGTTGGCCACAGTCCTAGGTCCCTCAGAGGGCCGGGGCTGAACTTTGAGGCCGTAGGGTGGTTGAGTGTTAGGGAAAGAGAGTCTGGGAGTCAAAAGATGTGTGAGTCATATAAGGTTCAGGAGAACCAGGGGTGGGCTGGTGGTCCAGACTCCCGGTCTGAGGGAGGAGGGAGCTGGGGGGGGTGGTTGGTCTGGACTCCTGGGTCT